TCTGCACGAAACTGAAGCTGTGCATGTTCGTACCTATCACCTGAGGTAACGGGCATATTTAACATAGTGGGGATAAGCCGCAACAAATGTCTCTGTGCAAATGACAGCAATTCGAAAATTTTTGCGGTGCGAATTCGCACTCTTGTACCATTTGAAGGTTAATTATATAACCAAAATTGCATTTCAAAATTAATGATTGAAAACATTCAAATTCATTTTCTCGAAAACTTTGTTTTTTTTTAAGTTACGTCATTATTGTGACAAATAAGCGATGCGACAATTAATAACTTTTTCACAAAAAAATCGATTTTTCAAGGTTACATGGAGGTCCCTCCACTTTTTTAAATGGAATGCTGAATGATTTCTTTTGATAATTTGATTCCTGTAATTATCCTGCATATAAAAGTATTAAGGTAAAGTTATTGAAAAGTCAATACTTTATAAAATATTTAATAGTTTTTATCAAATTTTGACATGAAATATGAAATATCTCGTAAACTATTGATTTCTTGATAACTATACCTTAATATTTTTATGCTGAGAACGATAAGAAGTGATTGATATAAAGAAAACATACAGTTACTTTGTAAAAAAAATTATGCGAATTGAGGGACCTCTATGTGACCTTGAAAGATCAATTATTTTGTTGTGAAATTGATCTTATCATTGTTTGTCCCTCTTCATACCCTATAACTTTTGCATAAAGCATTTTTTCGTATCTTGCATATTTTTCGAGATATTTCATATTTCTTGGGGATTAACCCGTAAAGGATATGTCTCTTTTGAACATCCGTAAAGAACACCTGAATGCGAATTTGCACCAAGGAGTTTTCAAGTTTTATATCTTCTGAAAATAAAAAGCAAAATTAAAGCAAAACGTGTATTTTCCAATGTAAAATTTTCTGATCAATCGATTGGTAATATTAAATTAAAAAAAAAAAGAACATAATTGTTTTCAAAACTGCGTGTAAACAAAACAATTTCTAGAAAAACTAGAAAAAAGCTTTTTCAATAAGTAACTGCCATTTTTTTAGTTCTTAATAAAATGACAAACTTTACTGGATTTTGTTAATAAAATGTTGTATTTTAAGTAAAAAACAGTTTTAATTGAATAAAATATAAATAAATTTTTTTTGGTATTAAAAAGTTTGAGTTTTTTCATATCCAAACGAACTTTCAATGTGCCTCAAGTAATGGCTAAGGTGCAAATAATCCTCGGGACCATTCTATTTAAAATAATAGAAACAAACATATTTCACATAGTGGAGGAAGAACGCAATATTCATCTGTTCTCAAATGCCCACCAGTTGAAAATTTTGCGAATTTGCACTAAGGTGTCCTTTACGAATTAAAATGGAAACTCTGTATGTGTGTTTTATATATATATATATATATCTGTCTCTTATACACA